CGTCTGAAGGAGACACAAGCTGACTGACAAATTGAAAACGTGAAAGCTGGAGTGTTACATTTGTGATTAACGATTGGAGTGTGTGTCCTGTAAATTGTGCAGAACGGTTACAGATGAGTCCACTTCAGTTTGAAAAGGATGATGACAGCAACGGTCACATGGACTTTGTCGCATCAGCATCCTCTCTCAGAGCCATCATGTACTCCATTGAGCCAGCTGACAGACTTAAGACCAAACGCATTGCTGGGAAGATAATCCCCGCCATTGCCACGGCAACAGCTGCAGTGGCTGGTTTGGTGAGCACAGACCTTGAGATACTCGTGTGGTTTTTAAGGATTGCATCCAGCAGATAATGCTCATCATCCATTAAGAATAAGGTGTACAAATATGTTTTTAAAATGTTGATTTAATGGTATGGTAACCTTGTGTATTAATGTGATGCACTCAGGTGGCGCTGGAGTTGATCAAGGTGGTTGGAGGCTTCGGGTTTGAATCGCACAAAAACTGCTTCTTTAACTTGGCCATTCCTGTAGTCGTTCTTACCGAGCCTGCTGCAGTCAAACAGACACTCATCAGGTACACTCATCATAGTCACGCTTTATCACACCTCCACAGAATAATGGGACTTTCGACAAATTACGATTTCATCCAGACATTGTGATGCAGCACAAGAGGTCGCCACAGTGCGTTGCTCTACACGTTTCATGTCACTTTAAAAAAAAAAAAATTTAATATGCCGGATGCGCTTCCCGAAACTCCTCCTAAGGCATTTGTGTCTCCTGAGTCAATGATGAGCTCAGTTGTGGCTCCATGGTTTAGTTGTTAACATGTTCGCCTCACACGCGAAAGATCCCAGTGGGAAACGCAAATCCAGCCTCACGGAGTCATAAGACAGTGCGGTGCTAATGCCTGGAAGAAGGGTTCGGAGAGTTGTATCCGGAGTAAATGTCTGTGCCAAATATGCAGATCCATCCACAGCAGTGACCTCTTGTGAAATAAGGGGATCTCAGATTTTTAACTGATGCTATGAAGTTCCGACTTCCAGTGGACTGTTCTGTAAGAAGATGTTGCTGTTTTTGGATTCTGTGTACTGAAACTTTCAAGTCCTGCACTCTTAGTGACCACTTACTGTTGCACTATCACAGCATCCATGGGGAAATTACATTTACCATGTTATTATTATAATGTCATGTAGTAACAGCTCCATTGCATCTCTTCCAGGAACAACATCTACTACACCATCTGGGACTGCTGGACTGTCTTTGGCCACGAGGACTTCACTCTCTCTGACTTCATGAATGCTGTCAGGGTATGAAGCATTAACTCCCATTATCCAGTGATTTGCAGCTGTTAGATTATTGTATTCTTCCTCAGATTCTTGTTGTTGCAGAGAATATTTTCGTTAATGAGCTGTTTTGTTATTTACAGGAAAAGTATGGAATTGAACCCACTATGGTCGTCCACGGTGTAAAGATGCTCTATGTGCCTGTGATGCCTGGACACTCCAAGAGGCTCAAATTGACGTATGTGTTTTCCTCCAAACTTTTCCTTATTTCGTCTTTCTTTTTATAATAAGTGTTTTTGAAGGGAGTAGGCAATGAATGTTTTGCTTAAGGGCACATCAGAATCGGGAGGGTGGATACTCTTAAACAAGAGATTAAAGCAGAGACACTCACACTTCCCTCACACTGCCTACATAGTGTTTTCCTGGTCTAAACTTCCAGGTGTGTGCCTGTACATGTGCTCATTACATCGTTGTTTTTTTGTTTTGTTTTTTCAATTTGCTGAAATATTCACAGTGCATTTATTCGTCTATCTTTGCGTCTGATTTTTCACAGGATGCATAAACTAATCAAGCCATCAGTGGACCGCCGCTACGTAGACCTTACTGTGTCATTTGCTCCCGAGGCAGATGGAGATGAGGACCTCCCTGGTCCTCCGGTCAGGTACTACTTCAGCCCCGATGGCGAGACTCCCTGACACCTCCCTCAATGTCATCCTCAAGCCTCTTGTGTCCTTATTTCCCTTCTTTTATGTAAATTGTTACACCCCAATTGCTTTGGCATGGGCCAAGAGTTTTCCCTCAGGATGTTACCTGACAAAGTCAAAACTCCTTGCCTTAGCACAAACCCCTCTTGTACTTCATGGAGCAAGAAAAGCCAGTTGTGGTCCCAGTTCTGTTTTTGTTTTTTTGTTGTTGTTTTCCCCTGTTGCCTAAGATCTAGCCAGTGGAACACAAGGAGTAGCACTTATAATTATACCTGTGTACATATACTTTGTTCCTTTTTTCTTTTTTACTCTGGTGAAATGCACAGCTCTGGTTGTGTCGATGCCTTAATTGATTATTAACCTTTTTTTTTCTGTTTGTGGCAGCGAGTCTGACTAAAATCTGTGTTTACAGGAATCTTTAAACTCCCGACACACAGACCCATTTAGTTGTTGTGTTCAACTTTTTTCTTTTTTTTTTTTGTGAGTTTAACTTTTGGCACAATAAAAACAAGTAGTTGGTAGGCCTCGCAACATCTTCGTCCTCTGAGTTCTTTGAGAATATTGCCAACCACAAATTTGCCAATTATTTTCTGTCTCCCTCTATAGAAATAAAATTTAAAAAAATCAAGATTTGTTGTATAATTTTAAGGTGCGAGAAGTTAAGTGGACAATGGCAAAACCACCAAAGATAGTGATTATCATTTTGTCTGCAGATTCTTTTTTTTTTTCCTCCATCACTTTGACTGCCTCATTATAAAACATGTTTCAAACACGGGGCATGGATATCACCCAGCATTTGAGAGCAACACACAAGCTGTGTTTTACTTAAAGGTTAAGCTGAAGTTGTTCTGCAGTCAGTCGGGTGTAAAATGACACCGTCTGTGTGTGGTGCACTTAAAAACAAAAAATGGGTTAAAAAAAAGTTAATTGTAGCTGTTAGTCTTACCTACCTTAATAAATACTTGGGTAATGACTGCACTGACATTAGTTTGAGCAAACAAGATATTCTTCATTAACAATACATAAACTGACGTGAGTTTACTGTTTCACACATAGAAAAGCCTTATTTTGACAGACATTAAACATCTGGGATCACACTCCTGTGTTATAACACATTTGTTTTAAAAGAAAATCTTTGCTGTTCATGATTTGTTGTATTTGTTCATGAATGTCTGTGACATGTATTTATTTGTTATACTTTTTTTTGTTTTTTTTTTTTGTTTCTTTGGGTCAGACTGAGCCTGTATTGATGAGCTCTGAGTAATGGTGCACTGGTTAAATAATCAATAATGAATAGTAGTCATCCAGAAAGTCTTTCTCCAGGTTTATAATTCTCCCTTTCATTAAGTTCCAGGTTAAAGAGAAGGCTTTCGATCAGTCTGTAGTGCCTACAGTGGCAATAACGTCAGTGTAGTTTTGAATGGAATCAGTTAAATTGAACTTTGTCTTGAAGATTAAGTCGCATCTTATCATCTGTCTTGGACCTTCTGGCTGAACACCACAACGAGATGCTTCCTCAGTGTTCCTTTGTTTCTCTGCTCAAAACCAGAGGTGGTGAAATTTCCTTTCTACAGCAGATGTCTACCCATAATGACAACACTTCTTGTGCAGTGAATTCATCATTTTAAAACAAAGCAGTGTTAATTACAGATACTGATGTATGTTCTTGTGACAGACAAGCTCAACCAGTGGTCCAATAAAATGTGAGATTTCAGGATGTCTTCAAAATTGAAGCTGCTGACTCGTTCTTCGAAGTCAAACTTTACAACAAATACAGACACTATGATTTGAATTTATTACGTCAGATATTTATAGAGAGAAAATATTACATGTAACTGAGGTTTGTTTGTTTTGTTTTTTTAAACTAAAAATATAATTTGATTCAGTACCTTGAGAAATTAAATTATAAATACATTCAAAAGTTCATTCAGATCTCATAGTGGGACTGCTACATTTCATCATTGCCACTGTAGTGATTAAAAACATAACACAGTATCTACATAGTAATAACTGAGGAAAAGTGCATTGTGTCTGGTTTAAATATCAAACTGTAACATTTCATATATCGAGGTCCTGCAGGTTCCCCCAGCTGGGTCCCACTTTGACTTTGGCCTTCAACTTCACATAGAGTTTCACTACTGACTCCATCTCTCTCTTGACTATCTGTGCAACCTGACAGAAGGAGAGGTTCGTGTGAGAGACACTTCACACAGCTGTGTGCAACCAAAACAGTAATTCCTTTATGTACCTGTATGAGGTCTTCCTCTGTGGCTTCGTAGATGAGTTCATCATGCAGCTGCAGGATGAAGTAAGCTCCTCTGAGTTGTGATCTTCCAGCTCTGCGATGATTACGGACTGACGAGATTACAGACGTGATTAATTGACAGACTTAAACATGATGCAGGGGTTCTCGCTCCCTGCATATTGCATTAATGCAAAAAACCAAAAAGGAGATAATTTGTGTTCGGGTCACCTGAATTTGTGTGCTGGTGAGATGGAGGAGCTGCAGGATACGTATTTCGTAGCCGTTTCTGGATGTTGACAGTGGCAAGTTTAACAATATCAGCTGCAGAGCCCTGTACGGTTGTGTTCACTGCCTGCCGCTCTGCCTAAAAAAGTTTTGTGTTTTAAGGAAAAGGTGAAAAAAGTGGAAGAAGCACTGCATGCGTTTTAAATGACATGCTTCATATCTAAATTCTGTCAAAGAACTCGTGCTCACGTGAGCTTTGATGTGTCCATTGTTGCTGGTTATTCCAGGTAGATATCTTCTGCGACCCATCAGCGTCTGGACATAGCCGTCCTTTATACAGTTCCTCACAGTCTGTTTAAGAAAAGCATTGATCCCTGAAATGTCAGAAAGAAAATGTTTTAAAATGAGAATGTAGAAGTAAGTTTAACCAGTTTAAAGCAAACATGTCAGTGGTTCAAGCCCCCTCTACAATTGACCATGGTCTGCTATACTGGATTATCAATCCAACTCTTGGTCTTGTTATGCTCCTCAGCTTGTTTTAGTACTGATAATAACTGAACGACGTTAAGAAGTTTACACTTACACAAGTCTAATCTTCACAACACTGATAAGATTAGAAAAAACATTTCATATTACCAAAAAAACAAAAAAAAACCCAAACAAACATTCAAGATCTTGCTGTGTCTCTTTTTTTCAAGTACAGGCACATAATTTCCATTTAATGTTTTTATTTTTTCCTGTTATCTCATTGTAGCTATAAGCCCCTCAATATTCCAACCTGTATACTGCAGCACATCCCATGAACTGGATTGTCTCATATGCAGAATTTGTGTTTTTTAGCATTGTGTGATGCATAACAGTGCAGAGAATATGCATGCGTCTTTCAGATGGACTCAAATTGGATGAAGAAAAAGTCACATGGGAACAGCTACATTATGCGTGTGTGCAGCAGTCTGCGTGGGTGTAAGAGACACCGTGGCAACAACCGGAAATACACGGCTAATATTAGTGATATTACTAATATTGAGACATGTGTAGTGGGGAAGCCCCAGTGTATACCTTTGTATCTGGCTTTGAAACTCTCAATGTAGCATGCTGCATCATTCTCATCCACTCCCATTTGCTCCCCCAAAGACTTTGCTCCCATCCCGTAGATGATGCCATAGCAAATCTGCAAACACAGAAGCATGTACTCCCCTGGTGACCTTGCATGTGTGCATGTCCTTGCTGTCTACCCTTTCTAGCCTAGTTGTACCTGTTTTGCCTGTTGTCTGAGGCTGTCATTCACTGACTCTGGCTCGACACTCTTCCACTCAGCTGCAATGCAGCGAAACACATCTGCTCCACCATTCAGCACCTGGTGAACATGCAAAGTTCACAATTTGAGTTTACATATTGTTTTCTTTCCATTAACCAGATTTAAATTTCACTGACCTGCAGGAGACGCTGATCCTTTGAGAGATGAGCTAGCACTCTCAACTCCAGCTGGGAGTAATCAGCTGCTAATATCATTCCACCTACACAACAGTACAAAGCTTATAGAAGCGCCTGAGGCAAAGCTACAGGAAGGACAGGTAACCACTCATCAATATGAACTATACGTGGATGTACCAGTAGTATTATTATTAGAGAATTATTATATTAACCTGAAAAAGGAATGAAAGCATGTCTCATGCTAACAGAGAAGGCAGGGCCTTGTTCTGAAGTTCCAGCTGCGACTGAAGATACCACAGAGCGTCTCCTCTTTCTGTAACAACAGTGTAAAAAAATCATTATAGCAAGTCTACCCTGCTACATCACGCAGAGCTACTTAACTTTTAAAGCGGTTAGTTTTGGGGAAAAAAATGCATTATTCTTCTTGCATTATTTTAGGGATGTAATACTATTACTCTGTTGTTGGCCTATTTCTACTTCTACTTCATAGACAGACCTATGAATATGAACAGAACATTCGGCATAATAAAAGAGATGAGCACAGGCAAATAAACTTTTCATTTAATTTATTGACTTTTTCCACTGGAAAATACTTTACAGGTTATTATTAAGTAATATGCCACATTTAACGGGAGGCAAATAAAACAAACTACATATTTTAACACATATTTTTAACACAGTTACATGTACTGTAAAATAAATTTAAAAACTGCAGTCAGGCCTACAGTAACAGCTGCCAACTTCATTTCTAAAGAAAATCTGAAACTGAATTCATTTAGTGAGAAACGTGTTTTCTCATTTACATATACAGTTGTCTTTTTTCATTTTTTTTCTTTTCTTTTCTTTTTATTGACTGTCTTTGCATCTCATGACCTCTTGTTCGTTTCTTTCGCTTTCCTGTTTGTTTCTTTGTAACATAGAAAATGCTAAATAAAAAAAAACATATTTATATAATTAAAACTTGATGAATTCCCCTTTTAAAAACAAAACACTTTGATCAAGTTTAACCTTACCCTGCTTTGGTCGTCCTGTAACAACCATCTTGTGAAGGTGGGCTCTCACCCACCATGGTGGGCATGTGAATCTCAAAGTCTTTGGGGACGTTCTGTATGTTTGGCTCGGTGAAACTCACTCTACCTGAGGACAGAATGAGTCGAGTCACTACAGGCTTCACATTTAACCTAAAGGGAAAATGTATTTGACAGCAGTGAAATCTCAGAAGTCTTCGTGTGCTGGTGTTTGTGTTTTACCTGTGGCTGTGTGTGTTTGAGCGATGGGGTATATCCTGTCCATCTCCAGTGTGGGGTGGTATTGTTTTTCCCTCTGCAGAGGGTAGACCACTTTAGTCAAGGCGTTAGTGATACGTCTCCACTCCAGAATTACACCTGGCAACGCGTGCAGCGGGCGAAGTTTCTCCAGAACATCCTGCTTCGAGAAATAAATGTTAGAGTTACGAAGCCAAAATAATGATTTACAGTTTTATAATATAATAAATACGTTTCTTGACAGCAATTAGGTGCAGGAGCAACATTAATTTGGTGAAATGTGAAATTGCTTCACCTTTGTGGTGCTGAACTGCTTCCCAAGTCGCACTCTGCCACCTGCCCTCCTCGTGTATCCCAGAGTTTTCTTACTTTTTGATCCACCTGCATCACCATTTGGAGGTAGGTGGAGTTCTAAGAACAACACCTGCGGCATACATGTGAGCGCACACAAGTTC